CAAAACAAAAAAAAAAACCATAAAACTTACCATAAAGTTTAGAATCTAGTCAAATTCATCATACTCTAATACTGTAATGGTAGTTCATAAATCACTTTTAACTCTAGCATAAAAGTTAAAAAACAAAAGCATTAAAAATAATCACAGCTACAATAATTTGTTAATACATGCACAATACATAAAAGACAGAAATTGTTACAACAGTAACAAAATATGAGAGAGGAGAAGTTAAAGTGCAAAATTTTTGTATCCAGTTGAAGCTAAATTGTTTTAATTATAAGATGTTTTGTATACTTTTTATGGTAACCATAAAGAAAAAAAAATGTAGTAGATACATAAACAATAAGGACAAATAAATCATGCAAAACATTAGGGAAAAATCATTTAATTCACAAAAGAAGAATAGAAGAAAAGAATCACTAAACAGTCAGAAATCAATATCATGACAGGAATACTATCAGCATCCCATATCCATGGGTTCCATATCCATGGGTTCCACATCTACAAATTCAACCAAGTGTGGATTTAAAATATTTTGGGGAAAAAATAAAAAAACAACAATAAAAATAGCACAGTTTAACAACTACATAGCGGTTACATTCTATGAAGTATTATAAGTCGTCTAGAGATGATTTAAATTATATGGGAGGATGTGCATAGGTTCTCTGCAAATGCTATGCCATTTAATATAAGGAACTTGAGCATCACAAATTTTGGTATCTGTGGGGGGTCCTCGAACCCAATAAATGCCCACACTAAGAAAAGAGAAATATCTCAAATAAACAACCTAACTTTATAACTTAAATAACTAGAAAAAGAAGAACAAACTAAGCCCAAAATCAACAGAGGAAGGAAATATTAAAAATCATACAATAAATAAATAAAATACAAACTAGAAGCACCAAAAATCAATAAAACTTGGGTGATTTTTTTGAAAAAGCAAACAAAATTACCAAACCTTTAACAAGATTAACCAAGAAAGAAAGAAGACTCAAAATTACAAATGAGAGAGGATATGTTACAACTGATACCATGTAAATACGAAGGATCAGAAAAGACAACTGTGGACAATTATACACTTGCAAATTGAGTAAACTGAAAGAAATGGATAAATTCTAAAATATACAACCTAAGGCTGAATCATGACAAAGTAGAAAAGTCAAAAAGACTAATCAGAATAAGGAGATTAAATCAATAATCCAACACCTTACAATGAGGAAAAGCTAGGACCTGATGGTTTTATTGCCAAATTCTACCAAACACTTAAAGAAGACACAATGCCACTATTTTTCAAACTCTTCTAAAAACTTGACCAGGTGGGAACACTTCCAAACTCGTTTCACGTAACCCGCATTACCCTGCTGCCAAAGACAGACAAGGACACCACAAGAAGAGAAAATTGCAGGGCAAAAACTCCCATTGTCTATTGCTTGAACGATCTTCACATTCCCAGGGACATATGACACTTATCTAAGAAAATATCAGGTTTACAACACGCTCCTATAGCTCATGAGCATGGAAGGGTAGCTTCTTTACATTTTTACTTTACTACAGTTAAAAAATAAAGTTCTTCAAGTGTAACATCATGCTCTTGTGATCTTTTCTCATTATTTCTGTGTATTGAGATATTCCTAAATTCTCTACTTGATATGAAAGGATATGTTTTTGTGGAAATGCTGTTCTTCCTCACTGTAAGGTTTTTACTCTTCTGGGTCATTTTGACCCAATTTCTTGCAGTACATGAGCTGAAGAGCCAGTCAGAAATTAGAAATGAACATCAACATCTATTGCCAATCAAACAGAGGTTGAATGTAACTGCAGTATCGAAGCCATATACTTTTTCTTGGTTAATCAACTTGTGCTTGCCCACCTAAGCCTAAGGAGACTGATAGTGTGTTTTCTTGTCTTTTGACCCAGCACCATTGATCTGATTTATCTGTAGGAGTTGCTTTAAAGAGCACATTTGATATTAAAAATCTAGAAAAAAATTTCAAACGTTTAAACCATCTCAAAGTTCTTTCGGCAGCATAGTACAATTACCAGACTAAATGATTGGAAATGGCATGACTTATTATCCTTCCTAGGGCACATAAATGTTATGTACGGTCTTTGGTAAACCGGAGATGGAATATCATAATTCAATACTGTATCAAACACAGCAAAAGAAGAAATTACCCAACTTTACCACCACCCCTCCTCCAGGAATATTTTCTATGGAGATGGGCTTATGTATCACGACATCTACCAGGTGGAAACCTAAAAAAAAAGGTTAATAAATTATTTTGTGTTCGCAATGCCAAACAACTAAATTAATTCCCACCAATTCCACTTCCTCTAATGTGCTGACTCTTTTCTTACTGAAGATTAAACTGCCTGTTTATTGTTTGTGAAGTCACAACTTTATTTCTCTACTACAGAGAACTACCATTATCCTACACATACAAACAAGTCTAACAACTGAAGAAAATATATTATCCAAACACTTTCAAGCTCATTGTTCTTTAGTTAAGTAAAAAGTTTAAGGTAATCTGAAAGATTTTATCAGTTAAAATGGTCACTCTGATTTTGCATTTCTTCAAAGTCTGTTCAGAGCAGATGAAAAGACCCCTGCTTAAGGTGGGGCAATTATTTTATTTATTCCTTCTTAATTAAAACAAACACATATAGCATTTACTAAAAGCCAGGCACTCTTCTAAGCACTTTACAAATATTGATTTATTTAATTCTTCTAACTACCCATGAAAATGGTTCTATTAAGCTTATTTTATAGCTGAGAAAATTGGGGAACAGAGAGATTAGGTGCCTTGCCTGCAATAACCCAGATTCTAATACATCAGATGAGGATTTAATCCTAAGCAGTCTCACTCTAAGTCTCCTCTATACCTTAATTGCAAATTAAAAAAAAAAAATACTAAAAATGTGACATTGAGCCTAAGAAACTGGGATGTTGTTTTGTAATATATATATTTTTGTGAGTCCCACTGATTTCTGAGGATGTAGCATATAAAAAATCATAAAGATTAATTTATATCAATCCATGCAAAAATTTTTTTACGCCATGCAAAATTATTTTTGCCAGCCTAATTTATTTATCAAACACCGGAAACACAGGGTTGGTAACTATTCACTGTTAAACAGAGCATGAGTGCTATCTACTGTTACTTCAGTAACAGGCACGTTTATTACGTGTGATGGTTAATTTTTATGTGTCAACTTGGAGGGTGTTTCGGATGAGGTTAACCTTTAAACCAGTGAAATTTGAGTAAGACCTTATCCTTTATAATGTGGATTAGCCTTATTCAATCAGTGGATAGCCTGAGTAGAATTAAAAGGACTAGACTCTTTGAGCAAGAGAAAGTTCTCCAGCACATGCCCTTAGACTTCACCGGCACCGTTGAGTTTTTGGGTTTGCAGCCTGATGAGCACACAGCAGATTTTGGATTCTCCTGCCTACATAATCACGCAGTCCAATTCCTTACACAGGCATACTCAGAGATATTGCAGATTTGGTTCCAGACCACAACAGTAATGTGAATATCACAATAAAGTCAGTCACACAATTTCGCTTATTTCCCAAAGCATACAAAAGTTAATTTTTGCACTGTGCTGTAGTATGTTAAGTGTGTAATAGTATTGTATCTAAAATGGTAATCTACACACACTAATTTAAAACCTCTAAAGGATGTTAACAATCATCCAAGCCTTCAGTGAGCTGTGATCCTTTTGCTGGTGGGGGGTCTTGCTTTAATATTGATACCTACTGACTGATCAAGGTGATGGTTTCTGAAGGTCGGGTAGCTGTAGCAATTTCTAAAAAATAAGACAATTGTGAAATATGCCACATTGACAGACTCCTTCTTTCCCAAATGATTTCTTTGTTGTATATAATGCAGTTTGATAGCAGTTTACCTGCAGTAAAACTTCTTTCAAAATTGGAGTCAATTCTACCAAATCCAGTCTCTACTTTTTTGTCAACTAAATTGGTATAATATTTTAAATATTTTGTTGTCATTTCTATGATGTTCACAGCTTCTTCACCAGGAGTAGATTCTATCTTGAGAAACAATGTTCTTTGCTTGTCTGTAAGAAACTATTCCTCATTTGTTCAAGTTTCATCATGAGATTGCAGTAATTTAGTCCCATTTCAGGCTCCACTACTAATTCAGTTCTCTTGCTATTTCCACCATATCTGCAGTTACTTCCACCACTGAAGTCTTGAACGCCTCAAAGTCATCTATGAGGGTTGGAATAAACTTTTTTTAAACTCCAGTAAATATTGATATTTTTGACCTCCTCCCATCAATCATGAATATTCTTAATGGTTTCAAGAATTATGAATCCATTAAATCCATTCCAGAAGGTTTTTAATTTATTTTGCCCAGATTCAAAACAGCAATCACCGTCTATGACAATTATAGCTTCAAAAAATATATTTCTTAAATAATAAGAGTTGAAAGTCCAAATTACTCCTTGATTTATAAGCTGCAGAAAGGATTCTATGTTAGCAGGCATGCATGAAAACATTAATTTTTTTTTTTTTTTTTTTTTTTTCTGAGCAGTAGATCTCAATGGTAGGCTTAAAATATTCAGCAAACCATGCTATAAACAGATATACTGTCATCCAACCTTTGTAGTTTCATTTATAGAGAACAGGCAGAGTAGAGTTAGCATGATTCTTAAAGGCCTTATGACTTTCAGAATGGTAAATGAGCATTGGCTTCAACTTAAAAGTTTCCAGCTGCATTAGCCCCTAGCAAGAGAGTCAGCATGTCTTTTAAAGCTTTGAAGCCAGGCCACACCTTTTCCTCTCTAGCTATTAAAGTCCCAGATGACATCTTCTTCCAGCAGTAGGCCATTTCGTCTGCATTGGAACTCTTGCTAATGTAGCCACCTTTGTCAATGATCTTAGCTAGATATTCTAGATAACTGGCTGCAGCTTTTCATCAGCAATTGTTGCTTCGTTTTTCTTTATTTTTATTTTATTTTTTTAAATTTAATACCAGGGGAAAGCACAAACACAGTCCCCCACTACCACAAATTATGCAGTCAAGTTTCCCACATTTGGGGAAATTGCAGAGGTCAAAACACCCGGAGTGCAATGACTAAGCCTTGCCCTGGGAAAACCACCTTCATGATCATGGTATCTCCCCTGCCAGGTAAGTTTGTTGCTTCGTTTTTCACTTTTAAGTTCTGGAGATGACTTGTTTCCTCAAACCTCATTAATCAACTTCTGCTAGCTTCAAACTATTCTTCTGCAGTTTCCTCACCTCTGTCAGACTACATAGAATTGAAGAGAGTTAGGACTTTGCTCTGAATTAGGCTTTGGCTCAAGAGAATGTTGTGGCATCATTGATCTATGCAAATCACCACATCTTTCTCCATATCAGCAATAAGGCTGCTTTGCTTTCTTATCATTCATGTTTATTGCTTTTAATTTCCTTGAAAAACTTTTCCTTCATATTTACAACTTGGCTGTTTGCTATAAGAGGCCTAGCTTTTGGCCTGTCTCTGCTTTTGACATAATTCCTCATTAAGTTTAATAATCTCAGTTTTTTAATTTAAAGTGAGAGTTTTGTGACTCTTCATCATTTAGAGGCCATTCTTGACCTAATTCCAATACTGTGTGTCTCAGAGAATAGGAAGGCCCAAGGAGAGGGAGAGAGACAGAGCAATGGCCAGTTGATGAAGCCGTCCAAACATACATATTTATTGATTCAGTTTACCCTCTTGTATGGTTGTGATCTGTGGTACCCCCAAACAATTACAATACTAACATCAAAGGTCATTGCTCACAAATCACCACAAAATATATTTTTGTTTCATGTTACTATAAAAGAATAATTAAAGCTGGATTATTTATGAAGGTAAGAGTTTTATTTGGCTCATGGACCTGCAGGCTGTAGAAGAAGCATGGCACCAGCATCTCCTTCTTGTGCAGACCTCAGGAAGCTTCTAATCATGGCAGAAAACTAAGGGAGAGCAGGTGTATCACATGGTGAGAGAGGGAGCAAGAGCAGAGGGGTGTTAGATCTTTTTAGACAGCCAGCTCTTATGTGAAGTAATAGAGTGAGAACTCACTCATTAAGGCACCAAGGCATTCATGAAGGATCTGTGCCCAGAGCGCAAACACCTCCTTCTAGGCCACATCTCCAACATTAGGGATCCAAGTTCAATTTGAGATTTGGAGGGGACAATTCCCAAGTGATATTAAAAGATATAAAAATAATAATGAGAAATTTTGAAATATGGCAAGACTTATTAATATATGATACAGAGATATGAAGTGAGAACACGCTGCTGAAAAAAATTGTGCTGATATACTAGCTTGATGTAGGATTGCCACAAATCTTCAATTTGTTAGAAGTGTAATATCTTCAATAAATACAGTATGCCAATGCTAAATTGTCAATCTCTGACTCCCTTTGTCTACACACACACACACACACAGACACACACACTCACACACACACACACGCCATTAGTTCTGTTTCATTAGAGAATACTGTCTAATGTTAATACATGAGCTTATTATAATTTGGTAGGATTTTTTAAAGTATACCTACAATCCTAATATTAATACATTGTCCTTATATATTAATGTCTAATATTAATACATTGTGCTTATATAATTTGGTAGGGTTTTTTCTTAAAGTATAGTAAAGAAAACCCAAAATTATATTCCAAAATGTAACACTCAAATAAATTTAACAATGGCATTATTCGGTCTGCAAATTTCACTTTTTATTTAAGGATTTGGATGATAGATACTGAAGATCAACAGAAGCATAGCATTTTAAATAGAATGGAGACCATGCAAAAACAATTTAAAAATTTGATTAAGCCGATTGGGTGTGAAGGGATGTTCTTGATCAAATGGAGAATTGTGATTGTAGGGGAATGCGAATTGCATCACAACTGAGGGGGAGTGATGTAATGCAGCCTGTAATTCATGGAAATGCTTCTCCCTAAACTGTCGTACAGTTTCCACAATGTACAGGGACATATTGGTTGAATTATAACCAGAAAATACTGTGTGTGCAGCTTTGAAGGTACGAGAATGGAAAAAAATATTAAAATTGAGAAAATATTATAAAGAAAGAACTGGTAAAAATCTGATGTTCTGAATGTGGAAAGTAGAGGGTTGAGGGTTCAAAGAATAATATTTAGCTTATGGGTCTGAAGAGCATGGAGTTTGGAGTTTGAACTAAAAAAAAAATGCAACTTGGTTTTGAGACTCCCTTACAATTTCCTGAAGGAACTATAATTAAATTTTTGGAATGAATGGAATGGTTTACGTGTACTTGAGGTGGACCATAGTCCATTCTACAATAATAAGTAGGTTGTCAAATTTATTATTGTATATGAGTGAGAAAATATTATTAGGAACAAATGCTTAGATTTCCCAACTTTTTAATGTTGACATTTCAAGTTGTAAACCACAGTAAGCAAATATTAATTTTATACTTTCACAATCAAGTATCCATTTCCATGCTTTATAATTTTATTATGATAACTGCTTTTTAGGTTTGGTTAATGGGAATCCACTACTATGTTAGCTTGAGGATTTATTAGGTTTGATTTTTAAAAGGGAAGTTTAAGTATAAAAAGATATATAGTAAAAAAATGATGGGAACAATCACCAACAAATGTTTAGTCCTCCATTGTGGATGGATTTACTATTTAAAGTTACAGTATATTTTGCCCTAAGTTATCGAGGCAATATACAGATGTATGTAGGATTTCTTTCAGAGGTTTGTTCAGAAGAATACAGTAACCCAGAATATATTTACTCACCTTGCTTCCTGAAAAGATTCGGGCCATGACAGTATTAAGAATTCTACCCTCATGCTCTTACCAAAACATTCTTTGTGACTGTGGAGTTGAAGCTGTCATAAAGGTTTGACTCCAGGCTGGCTTCCTGATCCAGACCATCATACTGTGCTGGTTTAAGTGCATATACTAGCTTTGCACAGTAGTAGTATCGCAGCCATGAGGTTTATCCAAAGCGCGATTATTGCTAATTGAAAATTTTTCCTAATATCCCGCCGAGACGACTTGCAATATAGTTGGTATTGGCAATTTTTGACAGTCTCCACAGAGACTGAAAAAAAAAGAAGAAAAAGAAGAAAAAAGAGCATATACTCTGGACTCAAACTGATATTATGTTCTGCTGTTGACTATCTATGTTAATTTCTATTAAGTTACTTTATTTTATTATGTTTCCATTTTCTTGTCTCTACAATGGGTGAAACGTAACACCTACCATGTAGGATTTTTTTTCTAAAGATTATATAAGCACCTTATTCTTAGAAAGGAAAGCAAAAAGCAAGATTTAAGGACAGAATCCTTTATTTTAGTGATTCTAGCCAGGATGGTAAGAGATAAAGGAAAAGGAAACTGAGGTAACAAAAGAGGTAAAATTATTTGATATTTATCAACCTTGGCACGATTTCACAGCAAGTCACCTAGATGCAAAAGATCTCTTGGCAAGCTTGTTCTCTCTGTGCATGCCAGTACCTGGAAGGATTGGAGTAATAGGCAGGAAAGGAGAAGGAAGAGGGAAGTTATCTTCATGACTCAGTCTCTCATTGGTCAAGGTTCCTATTGGTCAAAGTTCACTCCAATGTAGCCACAGCTCTCTTGCAAATCCATGTGGTCATCCAGGCTTTGGTGTTTTCTCAAGAAACCTTGCAGAGAGGTTCATCAGAATCTGAGAGTGAATAGAAGACCCAGTGCAGTAGGGCTCTCACAGCAAGAACAGGCCATCAGGGAAATCTGAGAAGGAGCTCAAGGCTCTTAACAAAATGAATTAATATTTGCAGCGCATAGAAGAGTCCCTGATGATGGTAATAACATATGTGTTAGCCTTTGTTACTCTGAAACATTCTGAGCAGGATGTAAAAAAAGAATAAGACTTATAATTAGAGGATTCCTTTCGATAGAGATTTTAACGCAATTTGAATTGTCCCCAGGCTGTTTCTGTTGTCATAGGTTAAACTGAGACATAACTACAACTCAATTTTACAGATTAGAAGTACAAAGAAGGAGCTAGAAATGATCAACTTTTCCAGGAATTTTTTTTTTTCAACAAAGGAAAAAGAATAGACTCATTAGAGTAATTTCAGATCAGGCTCATCACTAATTTAGATGATGGTCAATGCAAGGAGGGGTGCTGACCACAGGAGGGAGTGAAATAATTCAGCCCGTTTTGGAATGAATACCAGAGAATATAAATAATAAATGGGAAACAGTGTTTGCCTTTCTCTCTTTGAGTTTCCATTTAGTAGCATTTCTTTATAGCTCTAAGGCTTGTGAACTGCTGGAATGCGTTACTAAAAACGACTAGAGTCACGGAATATGCCATACGAGGTCAAATAGCTATAACTTTTCAGGAGGCAGGCATAGAAAGTTTCTAGTAAATGCAGTTCTGTCTGGCATCACAACGATGAACCAGATCACAACCCCGATGATAAGGATCATCTGATGAACATTATTGGGCACTTCGAGGACAAAAAATAAATAAAAACACAAATGTATAAACATAAAAATTATTTATGTCCATCCATGACATCTCTGTTGTTTCCCATGTCCAGCTTACATCCTGGGATCCAAGTAAAAAATTCCTCAAGTTTTTTAGCAAACAATTACACTACAGTGTTTTCAAAATCATCTGTATGTCAGATACTGACTTCTGTAAATACGCAATGCAATTTCAAACTTACTATGTAAATCTAGAAGCTGACATAAGAAAATTCATTTTCTATAATTTTAACTGCTTTTCCATAAAAAAAATAGTTTTGTTACATTCTAATTAATATCACTAATATGGAATAGGACCAAAAGTATTGAGCCTCTCTGTTTGCATGTTAAGTGGGATTCCCTCCTTGAAGAAATTTTTGCATTGTCAAGGGATTAAACTGGCAGCTGTCAGGCTGTTCTCATGCAGACTATAGAATTTGCCCCTCCTTCTTCGTGTCTGATGGAGATTTATGCCAGATGCTCTGAAGAAAGTACTGTATTTCAAAATATTACAGTCAGTAAAGGGGGAGGGAGGTTTACACAATAAAAAGTGGATCCCTTCAGCATTACGAAAGACTTGAAAGCCTAGAAATCTGTGTTGTTAACATTAATTATCTAACACACATGACAGAGCGACTATCAAAT